TTAGTAAACTTTTTTGTTGTTGTGAATCACCTTACGCAATAGTGTGTGAAATCTAATTCAACGTTTGAATAGTGCGTAAAGTAAGTACTTATTGTTTGCCCAGCGGATCTGAGTCTATGGAAGGAATTCGGACGTAAATGTGTCATGTTGCCACGTTTAATTATAAAAAAGCGAAAATACCAAGCATGAGGTATAGTTAATTTGAAAATCCATTTTTTAATAACAAAATATTGATAACAATAATAAAATGCTGAATATTTTAACGTGGTTGTTAGATCTATTCTTATTTTAATCCTGATTTCTTTAATTTGGTCTATTCTAAAAAATAAACATTTTCTAAAGATACCATCAGCTTTTGACAATTTGGCAAGCATCCGTCCTGGATGAACCTGATTGGTGGAGTTTTTGGCAGGATCGCCGATCGCCGTTGTCATGGGGAACCATACAGTTGTCAATGAGCTGACGTCACCTTAAGTCTCGCTATTGGCCAGGGCTCACGTCATTTTATCCTCCCATCTTGGAATATCGATTTATATTGAAATATCCAGTGGCGGAAATTTCGTCATTGCTGATTTTCGTGTAAGAGTTGCAATACGATAACACTCCCAAAAAGTTCCGCACGCAGCTGGGTATTTTATGAATGAAATCAGCCATTTTTGTTTACAACTGCATTCCCCTTACCGTTGCCCCGTAGACACAGACTCGCTGGGCAGACATTAGTAAGGATTATATGTGGTCACAGCCTCCTACATTTAACAAGCCATGAAGTTAAAAAGGCAACACCGCAATCTTACCGCCAAGTGGTGCTGGTGGTGTTTGTTTGTATAAATATATATTTTTTATTTTATTAATATGAATCACAAAAAATGCATAATTTATTGTACTAAAGGGCCAAAAACAGTAATTCAATGAATAATTTAACTATTTGTGTAAATAAGAACAGTAAATAATTGATTTAAATGAATATATTTCTAGAGTCTTCGGGATTTTTTCGGAAGGCAAGTCCATTCAAATACTTGAGCTGATTTTCGAAAATAAGAGGTACCTGGTACCTACTTTTAAGAGTTGGACGTTTTAGTTTGAACTCTCGAACTACGCCTTTATCCTTGTTTGTTTCAAATCTAATTATTTCGGTTTCTTCAAAATGCTTACAACACACCACAAAATTTTTCGTTATTGTATAATCTCGGGTATAATTATCTTGGTGTATTCCTTTTATCCACATTTTTTGCACTTCAGAATTTTTTTGGAAATAAAAATGTTTGCATTTCTTCAGTTTTTAAGGAACTCCTAATAGTTCGATTTGCACCCAGGAACACAGTAGTTTCATGGCCTCTGGAACAAGTTTAAATATCTTAGGTAATATATCGAGACCTATGCTCTTGCAGACAAATATTAATATTGTTTTTATTGTTTTACCTTACCTTACCTTCATTTTTGCTCCTGTACTCATTTACTAAAAATTAGCAATCAAAGCACAAAGGAACAGGTATCAACTAAATATGGGCAATATATTGGTGTGTTTCTATCCACTTTTTCGTCAATAATGCCCATAAAAATACTAAATTGCAACAATACACAATGAAAGCAATACACAGAAACACATAACCCAATAACAAAATAGCACCATACGCGACGTTGCCGTCATGTCCAACTTCATGGCTTGTTAACTATAGGATAGGAGGCAGTGATGTGGTCCATTTTTTGGGCAGATGATAGGTTTGAAGAAAAACAGTCTTGAAAATCCCAAAAATTCTTTATTTATGTACTACCGGTTTCGAAGCTTCAACGCTTCATCTTCAGGTATAAAAAAGACTAAAATTGAAAAAATACCACAATGAGCACCAGTTGTATTATTTTCGTTGAATCAATCAACCTCTAAACTTGGTTATATTAGTCTTAATATCTAAAAACTGTAACTTACATATTTAATAATAATGAGAGTTGTTAAAATCAGGTCGATTCGGAGGAGCAATACCTGGGCATTAGGCAAAATTGTCAATAAGGGATGTTACCCTTTTGAGTGTTATACTCATGTCCAAAAACAGGAAGGTCGGTTGATATTTTTAGTCTGAAAAAATTCCAGGAAAATTATTGAAATTTATTAGCAGTAGAAATTCGATAAGTTTACAAAGGGTTGGAAGTTTTTTATTAAATTCCATTATGTGAAAAATACCTTTTTCTCCAAACGTCAAAAAAACGCCACTTTGTTAACCCCTGTCAAGATGTCAGAAATTAAATTTCTATGCTGCTAGGCAAATCCAGCCGGTTAACGCCTGTCGAGGTGGTAGAAATTTAATTTCTATGCTGCTTGGCAACCCCAGCGGCAGCAAAAGTACTTTTTTCTACAAACGTCACTAAAAGTGTCATTTTTAACGGATGCTGTCAGTGTCTAAAATGCCATTTTATGACACTGGTGTTAAAAGTGATTACTTTTAGCACTAGTGCTAAAAGTAATCACTTTTAGTGCGTTTGTAGAAAAAATAGTGTATGACATTCATGCTAAAAGTGATTTTATTTTGTTCAAAGGGATGGAACACTCCGCCTTCGGCGTCGTGTCCCAAACTTCCCTTTTCACAAAATAAAATGTCACTTTTAGCACTTATATCATAAATAACTATTAGTGCCGTCTGGAGCGGCAGTAAAAGTACTTTTAGTGCCGCTTGTAGTTTTACTGCCGCTCAACCATTCACTTACCACCAAGCTTACCCCATTCGTTTGGAGAAAAAATAGCGTGTTGCATACGGAGTAGAATCACTTTTTTGTGCTTCAGCAGCATTGCAAGGCTCACTACGTTCGGCTCGCAAGCCTACTGCTTCAGCACAAAAAAGTAAAGCTTCTACTCCTAATACAACAATGTACTATTATTTGTCAAAATGGTGTCTCTTCAGAACATGTTTTTTTATTTCTTTTTGTTTTTTGATTTTTTGGCTTCTTGGGATTTCTTGTTGTGTAAATATTAAGCCGGTCCCAGACACTACGTATATTCGGCCAATAGGCGAATATTCGTTATTCGCACGAATATTTGCCTAGTCTCCCACACGGCGTTGTGGTATGGCGAAGCTTCACCTTGACAATTGTTCGGCGAAGTTTTCAAGCAGATGGCCGTCGATTTTCAGTGGCGTTTCATGTATGACGTTTATTTAGTTTAAATGGACATTGATGAAGAGCAGATTGTTGCCGCCGCTACTTCTGTCATTTCCGGCAGATCTGAGCTGTTTTCTCGCGTTCACTTTTTTGAAACTGGTTCAAAACAGGTTTGAAATAGTATATCTCGCGATGAACCCATGATTTCACACAAAATTGGTTCAAACCGCTTCGAAATATAATCCAATTTACGTCTTCAAATCATTTTTTCGCGCAAAAGAAGTTATGACGTCATTGTGAAACTGTTTTAAACCAGTTTTGAGACGCCAGAAAACACCTTTGGTATCTTTAGGTTCCAAATGACAGATTCATTTTCAAATAATTGTAAAAATTCTAACGTTGATTCATTGGTCCACTCCATTTCTTATTTCAATTAAAAATAACTAGAAATGCAAAAATCAACCTTGCGGCATTGCACACCGTTATAAACTGAAAAAACACTATATGCATATACCCCCGAAGCGTCTGGGAGCAGCGCGAAGTCACACGTAGTGGACTTCGCGTCAAACAAACTCAAGATTCTGTTATCCATGAAGAGGTTTGTGAGTTGATGATTCTATCAGGGTCATCTTTAGTTGATCTAATAATTTCTAACGCTTCCAAATTATTTAAAATAGCATTGTTACTTTCAACATGTAAAATTTTATGGTTGTTTTTGAAATCTGTTTGGTGTCCCGTTTCCAAAATATGCTTTGCAAACAGTGATTCTGTGTTATTTAACCTAACACATCTACAGTGTTCTGAGAAGCGTGTCTTGAAATTTCTCTTTGTTCTGCCAATGTAAATTTTTCCACAACCGCAAGCCAATTGGTATACACCAGGGTTGAGTAAAGGGTCAATTTTATCTTTATTATTTATGAAAAAATTACTTAAGGTATTCTTTGATTTGAAAGCTATTTTAATATTGTGACGTGAACAGATCTTCTGTATTTTATATGATATATCACCATTAAACGTTAATGAGAAAAATCTTTCTATGTTGCCCCTACACTACACTAGTATTTGTTGTTGGTAAATATGAATTATTAGCTAAATTCCTCAATAATTTCTTCTGTATGAGCTTATTGACTATATTAGGGTCAAAATTGTGGTCTTGAGCTATTTGTTCAATTATTTTGATTTCCATCTCTCTAGCGTCTTCGGACAGGGGGATGTCTATGGATCTATTGACAAAACTGCTGAGGGCGGCTAATTTCTGTGACATAGGGTGGAAAGACGATTGGTGTATTATTACACCTGTATGAGAAGGTTTTCTATAAATTGCAAAGTGATGTTTTTTGTTTACGTTTTTTATTGTAAGATCTAGAAAATAATAGATTTGTTGGTTTCTATTTCAACAGTAAATTTTATTTTTTGATGAATTGAGTTAATATTGTTAATAAAATCGTTTAGTTGTTCTCTATTGCTTGACCATAAAAGAAGAATGTCATCAACATATCTATAATAATATATTATGTTTCCACAAAAAGGGTTGTTCTTTAGAATGTGGTTAGTTTCAAAAAAATCCATAAATATGTCAGCTAACAATGGTGATAAAGAAGATCCCATAGAAAGTCCATCTTCCTGACGGTAGATCGTTTCATTGAAAACAAAGAAATTTTGTTTTAAACAAATATTTAATAGTTTTATCAACTCAACTGCTTCATTGTCTGAGAGTGTACTATCATGTAGGTTATTTTTAATTATTTGTAAAACTTCATTAGTTGGGACATTGGTGAACAGATTTGTAACGTCAAGTGAAATGATTAGAGCATTGTTAGGTATTGACACATCTCTAATTTTATTTGCTAATTGTGTACTATTCAAAACTGTATTCTCAAAAACACAATTGTATACTTCTCTAAATTTTACATTTAGCACTTTGCCAATTTATAAGTGGGAGAGTTTGTGAAGGAAACTACAGGCCTTATGGGCATTTCGGAGAAAATGTCTGATTTGTGTACTTTCAATAGACCATATAATCTGGGGATTGTGGTATTATTAGCTGATAAATGATAGATCAAGCCTTTTGATATTGTAGATGTACATTCCTTCATTACTGAGTTAACTGTTTTTATAAAAGTGGGGAATTTGGGGTTAAATATTTCAAAATTATTCTCCCTAACAAATTTCAAGACTTTCTCATCATAATCTTTTTTATGTAACACTACTACACTACTTCCCTTGTCAGCCTTAGTAAGAACCAAGTGTCCCTCTGATATTTTTTTCTTTATTGACTTTATTGTTGCGGAGTTAAATGAACCTCGATCTAATAAGTTTTTGTTTTCAATTTTAGATAACTCCGAGCGAATCACCATCTCACACTCACCCTCTATAGCATTGGCATTTTCTAGAGATTGTAGTAAGGTTATTGTTTCGACTGCTAGTCTTTCCAGATTTTTTATTTGAAAATTGGTATTATTTAGGGTGGGTCTATATTTGAAACCTAAAGATAGACATTCTACTTCGTTTTCACTGAAATTAGTATCTGTGAAATTTAATACTGGTTTTTGAAATTGGAAAACTCGTTCATTTTCATCCCTTTGTCCTTGTAACGTGTGTTTCTGTTGTCTAAGTTGGTGAAGTTTTTTGTTCAAGGTTTTTGTCTTTTTGTTCTCTATGTATTTACATTTACTATGTATAGACCCTATAAAATGATTAAAAATAGTAAAAGACCAAAAATTCTGTAGCCTATCGTAATAATATTTAAGTTCCGGGGTGCGGCGACAAATACAGCAACTATTTCCGGTTTCCAAAAGATGCCGGAAAAATGAAGCAATGGCTAATAAAAGTTCGCAATCCTTTACTAAATAGCCTCAGTGTCGAGAAGGCTTATAATAATTATAGAGTGTGAACAAGACATTTTCCTCGAGAATTTATTGTTGGCGATCCAAAAGCCAGACGAGGACTCACATGGAATGCTGCGCTTTTGCTGTATCTCCCTGAAGGTAAGTTAATACTAGATATATGTGAGAAAGACGTACTTACATTTTCACTTACTCCTCCCCATAGTTCTGATTAACGACAACGTGTTAGAATTCGGGTTTAAAGGAGCATAGGTCAGAAACATTAAAATTAATTTTAATTTTAGCCCCAATTATCAAAAACAGTGAAGAGTCGTTAATTGATAAACCACAATCACCAAAATGGCAAAAAGTGGAGATCGACACAGTTGAAACTCGTCGAAGAGTCCTAAGACGCCTTCAGAAATTAGTTTCGCAACTATGATTGACATAGGTAGGTGAACATAATAACTCTGTTCCAACAGGTCAAAAAATCGTCCCATGAACGGTTTCGAAACCACTCAGTATAACAATTTTAGTTTCTGCGCAGAATCGTGATGGTACATTGTACGGTTTTCTGCTGTGTTGGAACAAAGCTAATATTATTCATTTCTTTTTTTTAAATGTTTATTCCTTTATCAGGAGACACAATAATTAAAATATTCCTGGTTACATACAGGTACACCATATTCTACAATGCGTGTATCCAAACTTTTTTGGTAGAATCATTGGTAACGAAATTTCTGTTTAAGATCAACCAGGCCCTTCATGTCGTCAATTTTTATCTACTGAAACTTCTGCCTTCTGCAATTCGGGCAGACATTGCTACACCATCACATCTGCAATGAAAAAGTCACCAACCAACTTTATCTCTTAAAACTTTTATTGGTAGGTACCTAAGTGTTATTGCCTAATGAATAACCACCCAGTTGGGAGTAGGTGAATTTTAAAACATCCTAACTCAAGTAGGACTACTACTATGAAAGACTACTAATTACTAAAACTTGCAATCGAATGCTAGAAAAATGTGCGAAAAGCTCGTCTCCAATCTTGATCTATTTTTTTTTTTGCAGGTCATGAGAGACGTTGCCAAATTTCAAAGAACATTAACGTCACTATACAAAAATTCCTATCCCCAAGGGAAAAATATCTTTATTCCAAAGTTATAGAATCCAGCAATAAGTTAAGAAGAATCAGTAGAAGGTTGTCGTCATTTAAATCCAAAGTTTCTGCTGCTGAATAACATCATAAACCAAATTTCAAAAGCTCGTAGACCACGTCAATCCATTGATATACAGCTTTATTTTTAGCCAAGTCCGTACTCAAAACCAAAAGCCTAAAGCTAGACGATTTACATTGAAAGAGAAGTTGTTGGCGTTGTCTTTGCTTAAAGCTAGTGGTAAAGGGTATAGACTATTATCAAAAATATTTATTCTATCATCCAGGCGAAATCAGTTTCTTGAATGAGCTTTATATTATGTATAACTACATAAACTTTCTACCTAACACATGCGGAAAGTGTATTTTCTGGACTTAAAGGCTTGTCCGAACTCTGCTTTTTGTTGTCATTCGTGCAACTTCCATCACGTGCAGAAACACTTTCCTCACTTGTTAGGTTAACAGCGATTTTGGATTGACTGAAAAGGACCTCTTTTGTCATTTTATTTACGATTTAAGTTTTTCATCAAGCTATTGTTAAATGTACGTTATTACTTCTTGTAACTGTCCTTATTATCTTTAACTTAACTAGCATTACCTACCTATGTATGTATAAAATATTTGGTTTGATTTTCCATGCTTTTCCATCCATAGACGCGTTTCGACCTATCAGGTCTCATCAGTATGGCTAGGAAAAGCAAAGAAAACCAAACCAAGTTTCGTGCCTGTAGGCAATATATACATAGTACAACGGTCGAAATTTGATGGAAAATCAAACCAAATATTTTCTCATCAGTGGATAATAGGTTTTCCTATTCTGGGTTTCCCCACGAACTGAAATTTGGTTGGCCGATTAGATTACTCAGTCACCATATTGCAGCGAAAATTGCTGCTTGGTGTTGAAGTTTTGTCTTAGATGGCGCCACGATCAAATTTCGACCGTTGTACTATGTATGTATACTTACATGAAAAAAAACTGTTTCGCAATAATTGTAATTAATTCCATATTCTATTATATTTTCTGTTTCAAACTTTAATAAATATCTAAATTCTTAGTCAAATTTACCTTAAATGCGCTTCAACACTACCCATTTTATGAGTTTCATCTTTTTGGCACAATTATTTTATGCCAAAAAATGGTAGAAACTTTGAAGTGGTGGTGTTGAATCGCTAGAATCAAACAATGGTGCAAACGATCCACCGGAACGAATAAGATACTGAACGAACCCTAATTGCGTTTTGCATTCGCCAATAAATCCAGAATTACAAAAGCTGACCCCCGCCCCCAGTCACTAGAGGCGCTGAAAACTTATAGACAGGTTCTCAACACGGCACTTACCTTTCTAAGGGGGGATGTTTTGTGGTAACGTTTTTTAAAAATATATATGTTATGTTTTTTCGTCTATATACACTAATATTTACACAACAAGAAATCCCAAGAAGCCAAAAAACCAAAAAACAAAAAGAAAGAAAAAAACATGTTCTGAAGAGACACCATTTTGACAAATAAAGGTATTTTTCACATAATGGAATTTTTTCCGTATTAATAAAAAACTTCCAACCCTTTGTAAACTTATCGAATTTCTACTGCTAATAAATTTCAATAATTATCCTGGAATTTTTTCAGACTAAAAATATCAACCGACCTTCCTGTTTTTGGACATGAGTATAACACTCAAAAGGGTAACATCCCTTATTGACAATTTTGCCTAATGCCCAGGTATTGTTCCTCCGAATCGACCTGATTTTGACAACTCTCATTATTATTAAATATGTAAGTTACAGTTTTTAGATATTAAGACTAATATAACCAAGTTTAGAGGTTGATTGATTCAACGAAAATAATACAACTGGTGCTCATTGTGGTATTTTTTCAATTTTAGTCTTTTTATACCTGAAGATGAAGCGTTGAAGCTTCGAAACCGGTAGTACATAAATAAAGAATTTTTGGGATTTTCAAGACTGTTTTTCTTCAAACCTAAGTATTTAGTACTTTACGCAAAGCAGTAGAAAAAAAAAATCAACTAAAACCAAAGGCAACTGTTTTGATGTCAATCGAGTTAAAATATGTATTTTTTGTAACAAGTAGGTAGGTACCTACTTAAAAAACTAATATTTTAGGTACGTGAAATAAACAATAGTTTTTTGTAATAGCTCAAAGATGTGAAGTGAATGTGACATAAAAATTTTTGAACTGATTATGCATTGGCAGGTGCGACAGGTACATGCAAACTGACAAGGTTGCTATGACGACTTTTAGGAACTAGGCCGAAAATGAAGCATTTTACGCTGTAGGCCGAAAATGAAGATTTACGGACTAAGCCGGGAATTAAGCAATTTACGGACTGAAATGAGTCCAAAAAATAGCTATTTTTGGGAGCGTATACAAAAAATAGAGTTTTCACATCCTGCATAAGTTTTTTTCAACCTATCACAAACTCAAAAACTATTTCAAAATCAGAGAAAAAAAGCGCATATTTTTAAAAAAATTTTACTAAGAAGTACCTACCGTTCAGAAAAAATTGAAGAGAACCAATTCAATTTCTATTCTTATTTTTTATTTTTTTGACTGAAATACAACCTGTCAAAATAATTTTATATTTTCATTTTATTCTTTAATCAAAAATAAAGGTATTTTTTTTTACTTGACGGAAATCGGTTAATAAATAAGAAAGTTAGGATTTTTTTCAAGAATAGCACCAGCCGCCATCTTCAATTCATCATGGCGGAAAAAGCAAGCTTCCTAGGATGTGTAACTTTTTTTCACAGAGTACTATCATCTGTGAAAAAATCAGCTTGATTGCAAAAACTTCTCCTATTTTTGCTAACTGCCCTGGCCTATTAATATTTGATTAAATTTGAAGTTCATCAACTTTGAGACAGAAAGGGTGTGACGTCAAATTTCACACTTTCTATGCCAACTTTTGTGCAGATGCGAAGCTGTTGAAAACTGAAATCATCGACCCTCCAGGGCCGATAAATGGTTTCTTAGGATGCCGAAAAACCATTCCGAATAAATAACTGTCGATTAGGTATAGAATAAACGGTGATAGAGATTTTATCGGAGACATTCTCCTTTTGACGGTGTGCAATTAAATTATACGAACCTTCTTTGCTAAGTGACATAAAAAAAAATATATTGAACATCGACAGAGAGAACTCCAAGGAGCACGTCCACATTAAATGTCGGCTTTGCAGGGTGTCAGCAGATTGTCTTTATAGAAAAGATCGTAAAAATATTAGACAATTTTCTGTGTCATATAAACACGTGCCAGAACGAAGTAATGGCTAGGTACTTATTACAAAAATTTATCGAATAATATGAACTTTCCTAGTTTATACAAAATCCCAACCTAGACATGCCTAAACAATTCCAGGATTTTCAGATTTATGTTTATTATATTTATATTCACTTTAATTGGGGTTCCTGCAATTGAAGTACCTACCAACAAAAGTAAATATCTTTTTAGAAAATTGGTGCCAACAGAACATTGGTTATATGATAATTCTAGCCGACATCGTCTTTAAAACCTAACATTAGTATTATTAATAATAAAATAATGAATTTACTGGTTCACAACACTTACTTCTCGTGCACTACATCACTTCAAATCCAAGTATAATACTTGATGATAGAGTGGCAGTTTATTTGTCGCTCAGCTAAAACTAAAACATTAATCAAGACAGTTAAATTTAATTTTTACTA